GTTTATAACCACTCGACTCTGACGCTGCATGAGGTTCAGAAAAGGTTATTATCCCTGTAGTCAGGAGCAAAAAATAAAACAATAAAATCAAAATCCACTTGTGCATGCTCCAGTGACTTGGCGGTTGCATATAAGACAGCTACATGTAGTAACATCATAAGAATCAATTAAAAGTGCTGTGACTTGAAGGTGAAATGCCATTAAAGACATTGTGATCTTTGTTTAACAATACAAAAATAGAGTTAACAACTTTGTGACGCATTTGCACAGAGGTGTTTTTTTTTCTTTTTCTAACAAATCACAACACATAGCATGTAATGTCTCTCAGGGAGGCAAGATAAAACAATGGGTCCGACATGATCTGAGATTCTACCTGCAGTTGCTAAGCAACACCCACCTCCAACCTCTCAATCTGTCCCATTGGTCAGCAGGAAAAACGCACAAGGAGCCCCATTGGCTAAGAGAAAGTTAATAAACTTTAGCCAAGACCTGCCTCCCCGTGTGCGCACACACACTCTCTCCCTCTACGTCTCTCTGTCTCTCTCTCTTTCTCTCTCTCTCTCTCTCTCTCTCTCTCACACACACACACACACACACACACAATGAAGAGATTCTTGTGAATGAGAGCATGAGAGGGTGTCAGTGCTTGCGCAGTACAGTGCTGATATATGCATTGAGCTCCTGAGCTAAAAATAAAGATCACACTGAATGCTGTGCCACTGAAAGTTGCAAGACTGAATTCAAAGTGACAAGTCTAGTTCTCTCCAGACAGAGCAATGAGGTCCCACCCTCATCATAGATCCAGGAGGTATTTTTTGACATTTGTTTTTAGTATTGAATGCTAATAAAAGCTTGTTCCCGCCGATTCTTCACATTTGATCAGGGCTAAAAATGCAACAATAGGAAAGCCTAAAATATCTTTGAAATGCAATTCAAAGGTGGCATTTAACAGTGGTTCCCAGCCCCTTCCCCCCCCACACAACACAGACATGTTCTCTTGAATGGATGTTATTTAACACTGTTTATTATGCAGCCTAAACTTGATACTGTTACATTTTTCTTTTCTGTCGGTCTTTAGTCAAGGTTGCATTCATACTGCTAATAATTGGAGTGGCAAAAACTGGACATTTGACTGTATGTCTTTTATTATTAAAAATACAAAAACAGGTCTGTGCACAACAGAAACATGTTTACATGCTGCTCAAGATTTGTTTATTACATCGCTGTGGTATTTCTCATTGAGTATCACTACTTTTTGTAATATTAGAGGTGCCTCTATTTAAAAAAAAAAATCTAAACATTTTTACAAATATATGAATTATAAATATATCTTCTTCTACAGTTTCATCTTGAATTTGCATGACGTTTTTTATCTGATGTTTCAGTCATGTGACATTCAAGGTGGCACGGCTAGTCTTTTGTATATTTTGTAAATATATTTTTTGTAAATGTATTCCTGTAGTGTAATTTTGTACTGGTTTTGCAGTGTGTTGTACTTGGTTTCCATATGCTACATGTGTTATCACATGATCTGTCGGGCGATATGTAGGTGTGTCTCCTTCTCTTGTTCATGTCTGATGAGGAGCTGGTGCCCGTGACGTCACGTGTGGTGATGCGATAAAAATTTCCAAAATGAGCAGTTTCTGGTGTGTGGACATGTCTTTGTATTTTTGTATTTGTTCTTCTGTCCTGCACCCAGAATTTATCGTTTTTGGATGTGCGTACTGTTTTTTGAATCTTTTATATTTCGCCATCTCAACAGTTATTCATTACTTCAAGCTATAAATAATTCCACTGTTTATCCTTTTCAGTTACAGTAAAACTTTAATTAAAAGCCCGGGCTATTATTTGCTTAAATCACTAATATCAACAGGCCTGTATTTGGGACAGGCCTTTAATTCCTTTTATACAAAACTGTTGCTCAGCAAAGATCTGGAAATACAATGAAATGGTTTATTTAAACCAGTATGAATATTACTTTTATGATAAATTAGGCTTCAGATAATATATCAGTTATAAATCATTCATTTGATCTAGCTCTGACAGACAGCACGTCAGAGATAGTGAGTCATGGCACCCGGCACACCGACAAAACACCACTTTATCCTGTTAAAACAATACTCACTACTTGGATTAATTTTTATGAAAAACTTTAAATTTATTTTATCTGATGACCCTTATGGACTAAAGAATATGAATAACTTAACAGGGACATAATTTGGAGGTTATATACATGAGAGGAAATGTCTTTAAAAAACATGAACTGCTTGGCAACCAGACCAGGCCACTAATAGAGACAGGCTTTTATTTGTCAAAATGTGCAGCCACACCGGGCTAGTAAAAGAGACTGGGTGTTTAACTGGGACTAGGCTTTTAATTGAAAGTTTACCGTATTTATTTCAACCATTTATCTGTTACTTTAAGACAACATCATTGTTACTCTAAGCTAACTATTTAAACCTGGGTTGTCAAACGAAGGGCCCGCTGGAGGATCTCATCCGGCCCTTCACATAAATGTACGAAAGAGCTGATTGTACTTACGCAATTCTTGTCCTCCAATTTCATCAGCTGTCTTCAGTCTATCTTAATACTCTTACAGACCTTACCTTGATACCTGATGTAATAGTGACTCATAAGTACCAAGGTATGTACGTCTTGAAATACGTTGGAAAATACAGCTAGTCTCAAGAAATGTAAAAGGCACCTCACTAATGGATAAACTGCAATCAAGCCGGCAGTCACTATAATCTCCATGGTCACATAAGCTAACAATACAACTGTAGTGCATCCATGCTGTCTGCTTCTCCCACTGCCAAACCAGAACACTCTACTCCTAAGAGGTGTGTTACGCTAAGCTAGCTTGTTACATGTTAGTTATGCTAACGAACTACTTAGCCATTACTTTTAGCTAATTAAAACTGTTTATATCTTAAAACCAACTTTATCATTACTCACTATTTCAAACATTTATTACTTTTTGGGTCACTCATGTTACGCAGCGACTTTTTGGCCACATAACTTCTGCAGGAATCAAGAGTTTTCATGTTTCTTTGCTTTAAATAAGAACAGGGTCAAGTTAGCATTAGCTTACTGAGTGCTCCAGATTTAGCTAGCTTACCTTGATACATAACGAGAGCTTCATCAAATGTTTTTACTTTTTTTCAGTTTCACCTCAAAGGGTGAAAATTTAAAGTGATTAAAATTATGAAACATTGGGAAAAAGACAGGAGTAAAGGTTTATACTCACCATACTTTCCTTCTTTCAGCTCCCTCCAAATACATGTCTTCTGCTTCTTCTTGGGTTGTAATGGTGGGCTGCCACCATTGTATTAGGTACACTGCCGCCATCTTCTGATTTGAAATGTGGATCAGACATTAGATCATACACATTAATCCTGCACTGCATACTCCACTTCACAGGTTTATTAATGTTTTTATGTTAAGAGTATGTGTGAAAGGATTATTGAAGTCCTGCATCACCCTATTTGGGTTCATTTTACAGTAAAGACCTGCTTGTTTTACGTTGTCCTGCTTATTACACAGCGTCTTACTGAAGAAAGCTAAAATCTGACACAAAATATTGATTACAAAATGATTTCATTGACTAAAAAAAATTAATTAATGGTTTCTGCGTGTGCTCAGAACTGCGGTCCAGTTGGATTGCTAATGTTCAGTATCTCCAAAATGGCTGACTTCCGTATTGATGACGGACTGTGAAAATGCTCTATAAAACAATTAAAGAATATTTTAAGTATTTTTATGGCATATAGTTCTTGCAGTTTAGTACTTTGCACTTGGGACATGCTAAAATATAGTTGGGCATCACCAAATCAATTTGCAAATGTGAATTAACGTATTTTTTAAGTGCATTTTTCTGTGTTTATGTGATAAAGAAGGCTGAGTAGACGAACACTTACCTCTGCACGGTGATATCGTTGGCGGATGTAGTTTGGTAGAAAGAAAATAGTCCCTACATGACGTTAATGATTTCTGGAAAGAAGCATTGCTGTTGAGTTTTTCAAATGTATGTTTTTTTTGGCACTTTGAGCACAAGCTGTGTGTCACGTTTTCAATGTAGACGCACTCAAACACCAGAGTGACACTCGATAAACTGATTCAACTTTTGGAATGCAGCAGCATGCATCACATGTGACGAGGAACAACCAATCACAGCTGAGAGATATTTTTCCCTTCTTCCCCAAATATCAGTCTGAAAAATATGGATAACTTGATCATTTCAGTGCAGGGCTGCCAGAGCCACGTTCAGAATTTCAGGTAAATGTTAAGGTTGCTGACAACGTTGGACACAACCTCCCGCCATCCTCTTGAAAGCTCGCACAGAAAAGGCACAAAAGTAGCAACCAGCGCCGGCCCCTTATACCAGAGAGAGGGCAGACATCTCTACAGCCAATATCTCCGACACTCAGCAACTCACACCAAAACAATCTAGCTTGATAAACAGCACTACAGGTAAGAGGAGAAATATGTAGTTTTGATTTTGGGGTGAACTGTCCCTTTAATGTCAAAATAGCTATTTTTTAAAATGAGTGAGATATTCCACCATCATTTCATAAGCACCCTGCCAACTGCAGACTTTTTTTTATAAATGTTTTGGAGGCGAGTGTTTGAGTTAGTGGTAACACCTCTGTCAGGATTGACTGTGGAGTCTGTGCTGTGTTGAATGGTGAAATACACTTATCATCCACAATCCCCACGAGGCATTGGTAGAGACAAATGGCATCCTATCAATCACTGCATTCAGAGCTCACCTTTTTTCCTAAAGGCATATGAAACAGTTGCTTTTCAACAGGAAGACAACGAAGAAGTTATCTTTTTGAGTTATGCTGAGCGACTCCTGGGTCAATTCAATTTTTCTCGCCATTGTATTTTTCACCTTCCCTGAGCCTCTCCTACATCGCTTATTTATCGTCAGAACATCTTGTAACCATAACTTCGTTGAAAACCACACTCAGGCATCAATAGCACAAAAAAGCAGCTGGTACATTTTAGAAAGGGATTTATTTAATAAAAAACAGCCAAAGATCCTGTTATAGGTAGTTTTATTATGAATTATCTATAACCCCAAGTTATTAACTGTACAAAAAAAGGGATAAAAAATAAAACAGATCAGCGTAGACCAGTTTCAGTTTTCTTTTCTCAGCCATACCTCCATTTGCTGTCATGTGTAGTCCTACCTCTGATATTAGCTGCCCTGGGAAGTGTGGTCATCCACCGGACCGATCATTTTTTAGAGAAAATTTCAAAGTAAATGAAGTATGTAAAACACAGAGCATCCACAGGACATGTTTAATTTCTGGCTGTTAGTGTGACATTGATGTTTTAAAATATATCTTCAAATCTAGAAGTTTAGAAATGATAAAAAATAGGTCTTAAAACAATTAAAAGAACAATCTAAAGAGATGAACGATAACTATAAAATGCTTATATACAATCAAGTAAAATTCCACTGCAGCCTGAGGCTAAATCAAAGACAATAACAAAATAGTGCAACTTATATTACAATGTGTCTCATTACCTTAGCGTCCAACACAGTGGAAGACTTTTTTTTAGGTTTTAAGAAAACATTTTGAAAAGATGAATAAGGTTTGAAGAGGATAGAGAGTGAATATCTTCATAAAGGCGTAATAGACTGACACAAACACGATGTTGCACTACATCCGTTTGGCCACTCGTTTTAACTGCTGGGACGTTTTATAGAAAATGGACTTGGACTTCTGAGGTTCGAGCAGGTTGAGGTTTCCTTCCGAAATGCTCCTCACAACTCGCCGAGGCTTGTTCTCCTCTGAACCTGACGACAGACACCAAACAAGGAGTAGTATCAAGATTAAACAGAAGTATGGCTCTGAACAAATGCATGATCACAGTTAAAGCGTCACACAAATAAAACAAACAGTCAGTGTTTGGGTTATTAAAGAGACACAGACACCCCCCCCCAAAAGCTAACATCAGGACGTCATCTGTTAAAAGCCTCCTGTTGTCGGATACGACATGAAACTACTCCAGTCAATCATGGTGTAACTCAGACATCCACTGGAATTTTTTATTTTTTTTTTCATGTTGACGAGACGGCGTTTTGGGTGGAGCGGTCGCTATGGACGTGGAGCTTGCTGTTTATTAGGTACACATTTCCTGGGGACACCTGCACGTCTCGGCCACGCCCCTCCACTGTGACTGGCTAAAGCGCAGCATCGTTCAAACTCAAAGCCCTGCCCTCCCCCCTCTCTAGTCGTCTTTCACACAGGGCTGCCGACAGATTCTACAAAGTAAATTGCAGAATCTGTCTTGAGAGATTACACTTTCATAGACTTTACAGCAGTTCTCAGCTGTGAAGACAGTTGTTTAAATTAAAATTTAACTGAAAACACATTTTTCAAAGTGTCTTATGTACATTTGAACTCCTGGTCCTAACGCTATGTAGTGTGATTTGTTATCACTGTATATGCATTTTATCTTAAGTGTCTGGATTTCTTCTGCATCTGTGTTGGTCTGTGTTGACACTTACCAGCAAAGCGATGCACTCTGAGTGGTCTCAGGGCCACTGAGGGGTCTTTCTTTATGCGCTTCGGTGCCGAGAAACCCTGTGTTAACTCTGCTTTGATGCTGCTACAGTGAATAAAATGGACAGGGAAAAAAGTAAAAAAAATGCATTCAGACACAACATCAATAGGACTCCCTCCAGATAACACTCACAGCCTGCTATTAATTTTGTTATTTTGGTGACAGTTGTATACAGATTTAGTCTCAAATAATCATAAATATATCGAAACAGTAAGGTCATTTACATGGATATAAGGGAAAAAAAAGCCAGAGGCACATTACCTGTTAAATTTACGCTTTCCTTGTGCAGCAGACGTCATGCTCATGTAGGTTGGGTTGGCTCGTCTCACCTCTTGTAAAGACGGCATCTGTTGTCTACAGAGCAGAGGTTCATGTTACCATGACTGACTGGACCTCTCATGAGCATTTCCCTTTGTATTCAATATCATGACTAATGAATAAAATACCTTATGACTCATCATTTTGTTTGTGTTTGTACTGCAAAAGCCATGTGAATACAAATCTGAAGTTTTGATATCTGATGCTTCGTTTGGATGCACCTGCATTCACAAATTTGGATATGCAAACTTCGTTGTCTCTCAGATAAATCTGAAGCGGCATTTTGCTTTCTCATGGCACCTCCAGGTAACAAGATGGGATCAATTGTGAGTGTATCTGTTTTCACATCGTCCTAATTACAGAATTGTTACATTAACTATCCATAAGACTCAGATTTGACCGACTCCAGCCAAGGAAAAGACAGATTTGGCATCAAGTTAAATTAAACATCTTTTAGCCTCTTATAATTAGTCTGTGGCTAAATACCCCTGAGCAGGTTCATACTTGCTGATGTGAGGTTTAAATTGACAAACCCAAGATTGAGGACAAGCTGCAACCAGTACACACTTTAGCTTTGGCCCCAAAAGCAATGCCAAAGTGAGCACATATTCCGCTGCAGGACACAACCACACTGCGCCAAATGTTTGTAGACTGACCATGACACTGAGCGAGTCCTATGAGCTGCTGGTGGCATCTAACATGTAGCAACTGTGTTTGGAAACCTACCCGAGGAAATAAACCTGCTAAAGTCTGTATCAACTTTTATGTAATTAACTTTAACCTGTAATTTCCCTTCTGTTTATAAGCTTTCTTGTTATTGATCAGCCAGGTCTCCAAGTTTTTTAATCTTCTCTTTTAAAAGGACGTTCATCATTTAGGCCCTGATCATTTAGCTGCTTTTTTGTAATTCTTTTCAATGAAAGTGAAGTGTTTTGCTCGCTGCTTTTAATTTCCTGAGTGCCTCAGATTTTTGCTGGTGCGTCCTGAGCGTCCCTGAGTTTGAATAAACTTTAAGTCAGCGTGGAAAAGTGCCTGACATCATTGCCGTTTTTTTAAATCTTCATATGGTCCAACTGGAAGAATTTAGAGGTGGGCCTTTTGTGGTAGCAATGACAACAAGTAGTAGCGTACTTGGTTTGTGTGAAGCTAATGTTAGCTCACTTTCAACATCACCCGAGGCAAATCGCAAGACATATCTGACCAACCCGACATCTTAACCACTTTCTAATGTTTTACCAACCGTAATTAAGCTTGACAATTGACAACAGATTGTCAAACTCTCCCTGAATCATCCTAAAATAAGCTTTGAACCAAACATCATCCAGACAAAGCTCTTGGACCAGCTGGTGGGACTCCCTGTGATTTCTCCTTTTCCTGAGGGTCTCATATACCCTCATGGATCCATTTCCCTGTGACCAACATCCTATTTGGGAGCAGCCTGTCACGCTTAATCTGTGCCAGAACAGGTGCCCTCTGCCTCTCAGTTTTTTATGCAGATTTTGTAGGTAGAGATCTGTGAGTTTACTTCACAGCAAAATAGCAGTTATGCTAAGGACAGGTGATTCTGTGGTTGCCTAGCAACGATTAAAAAAAAAGACGCAGCAAGCTGCAAAAAGCGCTCTGTCTGATTGAGGCCTTACACTGTTAGCACCATCTTCAATGGCCTTGTACTGAGAAATATTCACAAAAGGTAATGCCTTTTCTTGCTATCTAAATGCAGTAGCTTTCCTTTGAGATTTGACCTGTCGGTTGACGGACAACCTTCGTAACCAGGTGCTAAGTGCTCTTATAAAGCCTGGATTAGCCCCGATCTTTAGTATGTTAGGAAAAACAACTCCTCATGATACAATATTATTGCAGGGTGGCACAAATGTTCCCAGACAAATGCCATTTCCTTGATTGAGGCGATGCATTTTGGTCTCGAGGTTGGTAAGGAACAAATAAACTGATACAAGCTCAGTGTGTTAACGTGAAGGCTCATCTGCTTGAAGCATCATTCACTGACACAAACCCTGTCTGCTGCTATGGCTCCAAATGTTTCCTATTCTGTTTGCCACTTCTCAGCTGACTTAAGCCTCTTGGCCCAATGTTCCAGTCTGGAAACTCGCTGCTGGGGAGAATACTTAGACTGTTTGCACTCGAGTCTCTGTCTTGTTTTGAATAAGGTTTGGGGGATTTACCACTTCTGAATGGTTTCGTTGCCATCCAGACTGAGCGTCTTTTACACACAATCCGCCGATTGCTTTGAAACTTTCAGTGGGCAGCCAGAGGGACGTGTTTTCAGATTGTTTTTAAACATTTTATGGAACTGATTCGAAAAATGCAATAGATGTTGTTTTTTTTTTTAAATATAATATGCATATATGTATATTTCTCTGTTTATTGCACAGAAGTGTCCTTGAAAATTCGGTTAATTTATTCTTTTGGGAGTTATGTTTAATTCAAAATGTGTGGTATAGGAATTACCTGGGTTTAAGAGACATGAATACTGAACAAATGTTTAATTACCGTGCTTTTTTAAAATAGAGTTTTACCAAGATTAGCAAGCGAGACATAAGGAGTGTTTTTCCATCTGTACAAATTTCTTAAGAAACACCAAGAAAAATAAGGATGTCCCTGATATTTTAACTCCATTAAAAAAGTTAATGACATCCGTTATTTGTGTTTGATATTCTTATTTAAAGCTTCAGAACAACTCATTCAGAGATTCCTGATGAAGGTTTTAGATTTTAGCCCTCATTACACCTCATTGCTAGCTGACACATAAAGAAGGAATGGTGAATACATTTATTTTGTTAAATCTCGAAGCCCATCAAAAGTGACAAAATAAATTGGAATATAAATTATATAAAGTATTTTGGTGGCAGTGATGCAGACAGGTTTCTTCTGATGGGCATTTTAGGAGGTGGTCCCTGTTTCATATCTGCCTGTTTCCTCCACCTAAAATAAAGAACAATCACTAACAGTTAACAGAAAATAAACAAAGCAGCAATAAAACTAGTTCAACTTAATTTACAATGCACATTAATAAACATCAACCAGTCATAATTGTTTTGGTGTGAATTGCCAAGTGTTGGAGATATTGACTTTAAAAGGGATTTTGTGAACATCTATGCGGCTGTTTAACCAACTTAACTTTGTGTTTCTTTTTCTCTTGTCTGAACAAGAACTTAGGGATCAAAACATTATCTGCTGCTAAGCTGTTGGCTACTGATTGGACAATTGCTTGCTTGTCAAGACATTAACAATATTAGCTCAAATAAACCTTTGATGTGCGAGACACCTGGGTGATTGTGAGAGCAGAACAGAGAAGAATGAGAAGTACAACATAACTGAGAAATACAAAGGCATGTGTGTGACATCAGATAGAAGCTAATGTTAGAGACACACTGCGTTCCAATACCCATACTACCATACTATATAGTACGCCAAAAATACGAGGATGTTCTACTACATCCAGTCCCATTTTGCAATATGGAAACCAGCATGCCTCTCTGGCTTTTCTGACCCACAATCCATTGCGCAGCGGACTATGTGTCACATCGACTGAGCCGCAAACAGATGACAGCTGACTGACAGCTGTTAGAGGTCACAATGATGAATGACAGCGCATTAAAGTAACTGATGACTGGTCGAATAGTAATAATAGAAATATTGATCGTTTAAGTGAACGAAATAATCATAAAAATCACAAACAACAACAGGACATAACTATAAAAATAACTGACAGCGAATTACAGACGTAACTTCACTGTCGCAAATATAATATAGCAGTTAGAAGTAGCTGGATTCTACAATCTGTGGAGTTATAACTTTTAACCACGTACAATGCAAAGTACCAAAAGAAGAGCTCTCTAGGTTGATCTCCATCTCTGGCAAACTTGGTGAATGCCGATTTTATTTTTTTATATATATTCAAGGTAACAGATATAAAAGCGAGAGGGTCAAAGTTCAGGGTGTAATATTATGAAGTAGCATGTCCCCATTGTGTGCACACTGCATGCAACAGTACATACTTTTTAAGGGCAGCTGCAGCACCTACTGAAGGTAAAAAGGAACAGCATACAATTCAGATCGCACTCACAAACTCAGAATTAAAACATGATGAAGGGCATATGTTTTGGACAAAAATGTATTTGTTGCTGCCAACTAACTGCTCTGTATATCATGGAGGTTAACTGTATAATTATGCTAATATTGGCCGCTGGTGTAGCTCTGCTGTAACACTTTAACAAGGAGGGCAGCTAAAAACACTCCCTGGCTCACTCTGCATTGTTGGAAGGTGCATGTTGAGATAAATTGTTTTGTGAACAGGAGGCAAGAAAGTGCGACAAATGGTTGTGATACTTCATGGCAGCTGCTGCAGCTTCTCCCTCTGAACTTGATTTATAAAAATGTATGGTATGTCTACGGTCAGATTGTGATGTTATATCAGTTTGGGTTTCTGCTGTGACAGCAGTATTTTCTTCTTCCCCAAAGTGTCTGAGCTCCCGTGAAGAGGAGTGTTTCCCGTGGTCTTTCTCACAATATTTCCTGTTTATGTGGAGAGAAGTGTACGCTATTGTAGCAGTAAATTTTGGAGGGACCACAGGCGTGCAGTAGGCGGTATGTGGGTGTACCGATGCATTCGTTTACAACTACTTCAACGTGTTAAAAGGCTGCGCCATATGGACTGCCAAGAGAATCAATATACTTAATGTGTAGAGTCAAGAGAACTGTAATCCACACAACAAGCCAACCTGAGAAATGACTTGTAGTGTTATCTAACGCACTCTCAGAAGGGAGGAAACATCTTCTGAAATCACATGAAGTGTGTCTACACTCTTTAACATCTTAAAACCAAAAGAACACTGAAGACATGAATATTTCTAACCTTTTGCTAGGAATCTGGTTCCCTTCCTTCGCCTTGGGAGGATGGAGTAGGTGGCTGGGGCCTGAAAAGTCTGTGGACGTTGATTCTTGACAGGGACTGCCGGTGCTTATTATGATGGTTGCATTAGCTGCAGTTTGATCATCATTGTCCAGAACTTCAAACGTCATGTTGGGATCCATGGCGCTGGAAGAGCTCAGTGGCAGGGCCTGAACAGTTTTTTGAGAAGGTTCTGGTGTGCACTGGAGCGGGAACATGCCCTCCTCAAACGCTCCGGCCTTGGCCATGGCACGGGGGCTTTGTGGTGGAAGTGATGCGGACAGGTTTCTTCTGATGGGCATTCTGGGAAGTGGTTCCTGTTTTATATCTGTCTGTTTTCCTGCACCTAAAATAAAGATCAATCACTAACAGTAAATAGAAGATAAACAAAGCAGCAATACAATTAATTCAACCTAATTTACAATGCACATTAATAAACAACCTAGACAGATTAAGCTTGAAAAAAGCTGATCTTGGCACTTTAACAGAGTAAAAACCTTGAAAACAACTTCTTTCTATCAGTGATATGGTCCTACGTAAACACATTTTCACCAAAGTTAGAACTGTTTTGGTTATTTCGCATAAGAGATTTGTGTTTTTATGACATTACTGTTGAATTTTTCAAACGTTTTTTTGGCACTTTGATCACCAAGAGTGCCATCTCGTTCCATTATATTCAAGAAGGTGCAGACATCTCTACTGCTGATATATCAGTCTAGATCAATCAATCTATTAATCTAGACTGACTAACAGCACTATGGGTAAGAGGGAAAATATGTACTTTTGATTTTGGGGTGAACTATTTCCTTAAGATGTGAAAGCTTGTATGGGTTTTTAATAAGGAACTGTTTATCATAAAGCAAATAAAAAATATTACAGATGACAGCCAAATTGGACTGGAGCAGACTGAAAGGGGAATGCCTCTGTACTCTGCTTTCTATACCCTGTATTCATTTTCTTTCATAAAATATTACCTCTGTCTGCAGCCCAATGTTCATAGGTCCAAATGTTGTGTGTGGTCACATGACATAGGCTGTGCTTTGGCAGCTACATCAACATGTTACATTGTGACTCAAAGGTTTGCTAAGAGACAGAACATAATCTCTGCCACTGACACTGTTTCAAGCCTTCTCTGCAGATGCCAGCATCTCTAACAAGCTATCTTTGAAGTGCATATATCAACGCATTGTTTACAACTGAGGGCTTTGAAAGTGAAAGCAAATCAAACCACTTTAAAAAGTAAGCAGGGCAACAGTAAACATACCCTCCCCAAATGATACCGTCCCCCTGACTAAATCAGTAATCAGTAATAAGTGCTGAAGTGCCAGCCTTAGGCTAAAAAGCGCAATTTAAAAAATGTCACAACAGAGAAGAGAGATGGATTGTTCCCTTAAGTTACATCAAAATGTGATCAGTAGTGTTGGAGATATTATGCATGGCACAAGGCAATTAAACATCACAGCACCCTCCTTGTACATATAAACTTTACAATGTCAGGCTGGAGCTGTGACATGCAATATTATCCTAAAAAGCACTGCGTTTTATAAATAGACCAGAGCTCAAGGATTTTACCTGCTAACAGCCTTGGATCTCCTTTTTAGAAACTGAGGAAAACATGGTGCTCAAACACACGACTCTGAACTCTCTGAACTCTGCTTTTGAAAGGAGAAAATATAGGTGCTGCTGCTGCTGTAGATGTTGCAGGTTCAAAATACAAAAATATAAATAATGTATGTTCATATATCACAGGGTACTTAGTTTGTTGCTCCCATGATGTTAAAATGTACCATCACAGTGAGTACCAGGGAACAATAAAGTCATGGGGCGACAAATGTGCCCTAAAGCCGTGTGCTAATATTAGCTAGCAGTTCTGTGACAGCCAGATGCATTACTGGGACTCGACACAGCAAATATCCATTTCTTTTGTTAAAGTTTCTTTTTCTGACATAAAGACTTTTCTCTTGCATTGCTTTCTAACAGTAGGTAGCCGGTCACCAGTTCACAAAGCTAGCCAGGAACTACAGTAGTGTGTTTTGACATTTCCAGGTTTCGACTGTATTTGATGGGACATGCGACTGGAAAAACATGTATGCATTAGTACAATTAGTTTTTTTTTTGGACTTTGTAAGAATTTAATAACATGGCAAGCTCTCAGGCAGTGTACTATTGCAAAAAAGACCCTCATAAAACATAAAATGTCCAACTTGTCACTCCCACCTCTCTGTACTCAACTGCCCCCTGTAAAATCAAGGACATGATCAATGCTGATAGCATGCTACTTGTTAATAAGACACTCATAATAATATAAGCTGTATTAACATGTTTTTATAAGTTAGCCAAACTTAAAGGAAGGAACTGCATTGCAAATTGGTATTGTTCTCATATTTAAAAAGCTAGCAAGGACAGCACCTCTTCTGAGTTCAAAACCAGTGTGACTGATGACTCTGTTGGTCAGAAAATGCTGCCTTAATTGGTTAATTTCCAGCCACCTAAAAAAATCAATATCAGTTTAAGTGTATGCTATATTTAGAATATTTTCAAGCCATCACCTAACCGTCTGACCGTCTGACAGCCCTTTCCCAGAAATGACTTAGCATTTTAGCACTCCCAATTCCCTCGTCTCGCAGTCAGTGGGTTTTGGGTTAGATGTCTGAAATGAGGTCTGTGGTTAACACAAGCCCAAGAGACTTTGATGTTTTGTCCTATGACATAAAACACGTCAGTAAAAACTCACTGTGTATTTAGAAGCTTTTAGGTGTCTTAAAAAGGCAGTTTATAAATTGCTAAATGAGACTACAGAACATCATCACAGCAACCACAGCTTTGCAGTGTTGTTGTGGTGGGAATGTTAAATCATGTGACCATAGTGTAGTTTGTTAATAGCCTAACATTAGTGTTTTACTTCTGGTGATTGCATTTGGGCTTCAAAAATCATGAAAGTTGTGTTAATTTGTGAAGATTATCTTGATGAACAAAACTTGTACGTATCATTTACGTTTGTTTGTCACAGAGCTTATTTTCTGCAATAATCCAAAATCCAATGGAAAAATCCCACAGGCTTTTTGATGAGGCAACCAGGGCAAAGCTAACTTCCATGTCGGCCTACAGAAAAACATTTTCCCTGGAGCACTGTATTGCTTAGCTTTTTTGCCAGTAGATTTGTTTGATCAACAATGCTAGCAACACAATACATAATATGAGGACAGCAGAAACTTTAGATAGTTGGATCACTGTGTTTAACTATTTGTCTTTAAATGTTAGAGTCACAGCTGAAAAGGACAACAGAAATAAAGATGTTTGACGATATACTAAATATCCCAGCAATTAAAATTGATTGCCATTGACTACTCAGAAGTAATTGTTGTCATTAGCATGATGTCACAGTGATTCTGTCTAAACTGTAGGTAGAAGAGCAGTCAAGTACTGACAGAAAGCTAATGCTAGAAAATAGTGAATAATATTTGCAATATACTGCTTAATAGCAGAGGGACTGGTTGAACTCGCATGAATTAGGGGTGAATATTGCAGGAAAGGAAATTCACAACGCAATTAATGTTTGTTTCAATTTCTAGTCAGTTGTGATACTAAGCTAAGTTTGCATGCTTGCATGTAGATAAATGTTGAAATAAAATATGTTTAGCCTGAATCAAAATGAAGCCTCTTCAAAATTACTAATCTCAAACATTAAAACAAGATTGCCAAATTATATACGAATATGTGCACTGTAAATACTAATTGATTTGAAAAATTTTATCCAGTCATTTTTTGCCACATTATCTAGCCTCATTAAAAACGACAGCAACATTAACTAGTACAGGTTGCAGAGCAGAATGAGGTTAAATCACGGTGTCTGCATCACATTATGAACACCATTACACTCATGGCATTTCCTGCAGGAGTGTGGTGGGGGTTAGGGAGGGGGCTAAAAAGGAAAAATGCCAGCACATAAAGGAAGTGAGAGCACTAAATGCAAAGGTGAATGACTGATTTAGACATTACCTTAAATACCAAAATGCAATATTTAGCAAATGTGAGTCAGACCTCAGACAGTACACCGAGTGAGGAGACGATGATAAATAGCCCTTTTCTGTGGCAGAGGAGTTGTCCCTAGCAATAAATGGCAGCAGAGTTCCTTCAATCACATATTTTTGGCTTGTAGGGGATTAATACATGCATGAGTTGCTATTTCTGGTGGAGGCTGCACTGAATTAGGGTCGCCTGGTTGCTGCTGCCTGTTTTTTATAGTGCGCCTTTTCTGGTTGGTGGAGCAGGGGAGTTTACGTCTGTTGACGTTTTTTCCTGCCCTGCTGTGGATCTGCATTTTCATGAATGAAGCTCAAGAGGGATTGGGGGGTTAGATGCTAGACAGACAGAGAAAAACATTTGAGGGTAGGAGGAAAAGGAAAGGTAGAATGGAGGAAAAATCCAGACTAACAGATGTTTGAAGAAAAAGGGACAGCATAAATCTAAGGAGGGAAAAAATAGATAAGAGAGAAGTGAGAGGTAGAGGATCGAACGGGAGTATAAAAAGAACAGCATAAAGGGGGCAGTGGGAGGTAGCTGAATGAAAAATCACAAAGCTATTAATAAATGCATGTGTGGACATGTTTTAAATCAACACTAAATTGTGGAGTGCAGAAATGCTCCTTCAAAGTGATCACTTTGGTGTGATTTGCTATTATTAAACAGCCCACAAAGAGTTAATGCTCTTTCAAACCCCAACCCTCTCTAAAACCAATGAAATTTGATTGGCTTTGCAAGCTGCAGGGTGGAGCTATTTCTCATAACATGCTGCAGTGACTACCATTAAGAGCTGAGGAAGCAGTAAGGGACTGACAAACAGCGTCAGGACAAGATCAGAGCAGTTTGTCTGAATTCTAAATAAAAGCCTTATTTATTAAAACATTTGTTTCATTTCAAATGCATAACATTTAATAACTGACAAGTCGTTTAGCATGGCTGATAATGCTGTATAGCATGTATGAAGTTGTGTCTATTGTGTGTGTATGTGTGTGTTACATACATGTATGAGTGGTAGCTCTGACATTAAGATGGACATGGTGCTTTTCAGGGATGCAAGTGTGGGCCTGTGAATGCATAATGTAGGAGGATGTACAGAGATATGATTTTTAATGGAGAGATGAAACTGTGGCTATGTTATCTAAATATTAGGAACACTGTGATGCAAGGACACTTATTTAATATATAGTGATTCAACATGAAGCTACTGTTTAGCCTCTAAAGGCTTGCAAAAAAAATGCACGCATGCCTGGAAAATGAATTATTTTATAAGGTGCTGCTGTATATATGTATGTAGATATTATTGGTATAGCATAATATTTAAGATATACAATGCAGAATTGTCTGCTACTGTGTGCAAACTCACTCGCCAGTGAAAGCTAGCCCCAGTTTCATTATCATTTGGTGTTTCGTCTCCCTCCCTTTTTCTTTTTTTGCCGCTTTGTCTCTTGGATGCCTGCTGCTTAGGGTCTGGTCCCTGGTCACTACCTTTTTATAAAGCCCTGACCTCACCTGAGCGCTTTGGAGGTACACACCCATAAATTTCTCAGACACGTAAAATAAGAAAATACAGGCAGAGGGCAGAGTCTCTGCAGAAAAATGCACCACCACACACTTCTAGTGGGTCATAAGTGATGACTGAGAGGGATTATTTCTCTATACAAATGTCATTGTTATTTAGGAAAATCCTGCATAGTATATCTTTATATAATCGCTATAATACTGTATATCTGTGTCCACTACTGTTTAAGATACACTGTAATAGTTATTTCTTGTATCTAAAATTCTTAGCTTAAGGGAGGTGGGGACTTTTATTTTGTGGTCTTGATTAATTTAGTTGTTAATGACAGGGATTAATTAAGTATTCCTCTATTAGCGGAGGGTAAAAAGTATTCATTTCAAATAACAAATCCACCCAAAGTTTTACTGTGGGTGTGTCAAATGCTGAATAAAGTTCAAGTTTGGCCATTCAGGATTTTTAGGGGGTTAAATATAAAGTTCAGCATCGTAAAACAATTAGAGTAAGTGGAGTTGTTGACACTTGTCGAAAGACGACCGTAAATGTAGTGGCACAGAAAAGTTAAATTGCGAGCAAATAACAATAAATGAACAAATGGGGAAAAAACAATAAAACAACTGGCCTGACGTGTAGAAAGAAGGGCCGGGCAGACGGGCCAAACAGAAAGAAATGTTTTTATAATAAGTTGCAGGGAAATTTAATAGTGGTAGTGACAAACTCCCTGGTGCTTTAATGTTTCATTTCCATTCAAGGAACTCTGGTCATCTGGCAGGAGTACTCTTTTCAAAAGTTAAATTTCCCACAATATGTTTCAATGAAATGTAGACCACCTGCAGTAAATATCATTACTGCCAATTTGAACTGCAATATTTCACAAAGGTTTTTGTGTTACATTTCCCCAAAGGTTCCATGTGTACAGTTTTCCCTCTATAAAACTGGTTGCGAGTATTCACATCATTTCATTATTCATGTTTTGGCCAGGACAGAATGTCTGCAGCACAACTATAAATCAAATTATATTACATGTCTGACTTTTATTGTGTATTTTACTACTCTGAACAAGTCATTTTACTTAAACAGCTAAAAACATGTTCAGCAAATAAAAAGCAACACGGCAAAGTGAGAATTTGGGCTTGCGCAAAAACAATTGGAAAATTTATATGGCACATTAAAAACACAACTTTATGGGCCGCGTGTTTCGCTTCAATAAAATGTAGCATCATCTCTTGACGGGTGTTTGGCCAAGTGTGATGGATTGAATGAAAGGTGACAAGGAGAGAGGTGAATGATTGAGGGGGAGGGGGGATTAACAGGCATGCAGGGGTTTTAGATTAATGACTACAGTATGTTAGCATGACGGGGGGGAGAGAGCAGAGTAGATTTACCTTTTGGTGATGGAGCAGCGTTGCACAGTGATGTTCTTTTTGTGCGCCCCTCTGCACCTGAGAAACAAAAAATCAAAAAGACATTCAAGGAGAAGCAACGTCAACACTTCACACCTACAACAACACAGAAAGCTTGAAAACCCTCTGCAACCTTTAGGTGGATTTGTGCAATTAAAAATGTCACACTATCAGTAAAGGTTTGAAAAGCACCATCTTACTTTTACTTAGTGATTTAGAGTTTTAAAGTCAGTCAAAACTATTCCCTGACCCTTTGAATCAAACGCTGCTTTTGGACATGAAAATGTTTAAAAAAAAAAAAAAAAAAAAAAAAAAAAATCACCAAGGTGAAACACTTTCCAACACTTAAAAGAGCTATGATTCAAGGAGTTTTCATTGTGCAGAGTGTACCAGACATTTTAACCAGCAGAACGGATTGTAAGGCTATCTTTTCTTTAGAAAGGGTCAATCTGGGTTTTGTACGATGTTCAGGAAAATCAAATCGCACACAAAAGCCAAAGAATGATGCACAGTGCAACGTGGCCCAGACATGAAGTCAGAAGAAACAGCATTCATTCAAAATGAATTGCACAAAGATCTAATCAACCTGGAGTGTTTTGGTCTTACACAAGCACTTTATAATCTTTTAAACTTTAATCCACGATCCACAGAAGGCTGACAAAGTATCTGTAGTCAGGATTTGTCAAATTCTTTGTGTTACTAATAATGAATCTAACTGGGGGAAAACAAACAAACAAAAATAACCGCACACTTTCTAGGAAGTGCCGACTGTAATACAGTTTGAAAGAATCCAGAATGATAGGTGCACAGTTTACTGTCTCGTTGATGATAGACATTATCACAGTATTGTTAGCCAGCTTTGGTTTGTGCTCCACTGTCTGTCATATCTTATATGTCACGAGGGCCCGGTGCTGCTAGGTCATGCAGAGATGACAGTTAAAAATGAACCGTGCAATCTCATGGGTCCCACAATACACACTAGACCTGGACTGATGCCAAATACACTGCAACTCGCTGAACTACCATACAGGACACTGGAGTTATCTACTTAAAGGGGACCTATTATGCTCATTCTCAGGTTCATACTTTTTATTATTTTTAATAATATTACTATTTTGGGCTTCTACTAGAACATGTTAACCTTAAAGTAAAAAAGCACTTTATTTTCCTCATACTGTCTGTGCTGGAGCACCTGTATTTACCGTCTGTCTGAAATATTCCATTGTAGTGTCTTTCTCTTAAAAAAAATTAATAAATAAAAAAAGAAGCCCGCCCTCCTCTGACTGGTGTCATTGCAACCGGGGGAATGACTGTAACGGAGAATAGCAGCACTGTCCATCATTATATATCACCAATTTAAAAAAATAGATGAAAATAGCCCCTTGGTCAAATCTGGCATTTTTATACCATGTGTATTTATTAATTTGCACTGTCCGTTTTTTAAATAAACATAAACTAAAAAAACAAACAAACAAAAAAAAACAACAGTATCTTCACAGTTGGACACGTTGCAGCAGTAATATGATCCAAAGACATCAGCAACCGAGATCACATGTTTCCTGACATTAGCATGTAGCTACATGTAGCACTGTAGGCTATGTAATGTGAACACATGCAGTAGTGTGCCTGGAGCAGATGACCATATAAAGAAATCCGTCACGAACTGATGTCAGCTTGTCTCGAAAGTAGAGAAAAACATTTGAGTATTTAGAACAGTCTCAATCCTGAGTTTATTTTGCTTGGAGGGATTACTCCTACATTAGTCTCTGTAAACCGATATCTGCCATGTCTAAAGAATTTGGAGGAGAAGGGAACAGAAATTCAGTTTGTAGTATGAGTAGTATTGACTGATCACATGTGAACAGCAGGTAAACAGTATGTGTGAAGAGGTGGAACGCATTGGCCGGAATTGGCTATCATCTGGTGACGAGTTATCTTCAGCAACCAAAATTGAGGCTTCAGAACGGCAGTCCACAAACCAATGGGTGATGTCAAGGTAGCTACATCCAATATTTTATAAAGTCTATGGTAGGAATGGAAGGTGTAGATCTGGTATGTGCTGCCTTTGTCATGGTTGAAAGGCATATTTGCTGTCTTCGTTTGGACTATAGAGCATCTGTGTTGTTATTTTACAATCCTCCTACGTATGAAGGCACAATGTGATTGGTTGATGCTTTTATGTGTGGTGAAAAAGCCCCTCAAAAATTGATCTCTTTCCGAGAAAAAAAACAAACAAAAAAACAAACAAACAAAAAAAAACCAAACAAACCCCAAAACATTATGTTGTTTTTTTGCCGCATAATATTTGCTTTCTGTATGAAAGTAGTCATCACAAAACCAACAGTTTAAAATTCAATTTTAGACTTTAGATTGTCAGTCAGAAAAAACCCCCAAAACAAAACAGCAATTTCAAGACATCATTTTGGGCACTGGAACTTTGTGATGGGCATTTTTTATAGTTTTTTTCTTCTAGGCTGAACAACTCAATAATTAATTTAAAAGAATAAAAAAATAAAAAGATTGGCATATTAATCAATAATGTAAATACTCAGAATTTGCCCCACCAAATTTTCAAACCTAGTTCTTAGTTTATCCAACCAAACCAACTACACAAATGCAGAATAAACAACAACAGAAGAATAAACAGGATGATAAGAGTATGATGACTTACTGCAGGGGCTATTCTGGTGGTACAGCAGATGTGAGAAAGACAGGACCGGTGCCAACTCGCTGCGGCCCGCCTCAATTGCTTCCTGTGACTTGTCTCCAGTCCCTTTACCTTTCAGCTGCTGCTCCACCTCTTCCTGGTCGGCCCAGACCACACCTCTCTCCCTCAACACAAGGTGCTCTAGTTCATGGTTCTCCTGCTCATCTGCGGCTGAGACCTGCCCGGTCTCACGCAACATAGAGTAGTGCCGACTATAAGCTGGCAACAAGATGTTCACCATTCTGAAATGCGATGGGAAAAAATAACATTGAGACATTACTTCAGGGAAAAACTGCGAGTCACAATGAGGTGAAGCGCAGTTTCTTCAGCTGCACCGAGTAATAGTTAATTCAGGAAGAGCTGGTTCTTGGTATTGTCAACTTACTTCTGCATGCGCTTGTTCTCCTGATCCTGCAGTGCAGCGAGCTCGACCATCTGCTTGATGTGTTGTTTGAGATCATTAACCTGCAGCTCAAGTCTGTGGCAGTGTAGGCCCTTCTCTAACACCTGAACAAGGAGGGAAAAGTGAGTTTGGAGAGCAGAAATGATGAGGCAAAGGACAGTCTAACATAACAGTATATTAAATTAGCATGCTGGTGGGCAGAGTTTAAAATAAAAAAAGACACAAAAGGTGGTTGGTGGTCGGGATACTAGAGAGAAGATGCAAAGTTCTGTTTTCATCCATGTTTCATCAGAAAAGCGCTCGGCTCAGGGTAAGGGAGGGGAGAGAGAGAGAGAGAAAAAAAAGGACTCTGACGTAAAGAAACTACGAAACAACAGCAGAGAGAACATTTGACCGGTGGGTGCGTCATAGTTCTGGGTCAGTTCCTGGAAGAAAGGATAAAGAAGAAAAAAATAACATGGGCATGGTTTTAGGTAACTGGCTGTTGTGTGAGGGATGAGTAAAGGGTATTGATTTATTCTCTTCAGTGATCCACGAGTGAGCTGGAGAAATAAAATGAGCACGGTTCTAATTACTGGGAGAACAGATGGGAAGAAAACAAAGACAGTCACGACACCAATAGAAACACAGCCTACCTTCCAAAATAAACAAACAAAAAACACACCAAGCGATGAGTTTTGAAGGATGTAACCCACATTATGAAGTTTTTCTCTACATCTAATCATGCTCGTTTGTCTTCTTACATTAACTCAAACTATTTCATCCGGTCCCCGAGTTATGTAATTTGGTATCTAGTTTTACTTGCTGTTCGCATCTACTGATCTGATGTCCAGAGTCCCACAATAATTTATGTACTCTGTCGCCAGTGTCAGTGCCAAGTGATGTTGGAATTTGAATAAACATGGCTACAAGCACTCAGTTTACACAATTTCAATTAGGGAAAATCATCCCCAAGTACAAGACAATTTGTCCTGCATGCAGCTGTTATAATCAAAAAGCAACTCTTTTTTTTTTTTTAAAACCATTAATTAGAATGTTTAAACAAAACAACAGGTATGTAAAGTCTATATATCTATACACCAGTAAATACAAAAGGGCCAGCAAGTTCTACTCACCTCTGAGGCCTGATCGTTCGACTTCAGCAGCTTAATCTCATTCTCGACACGATGAAGCCAGCTGTCATTGTCCAGGAAACGTGTTTCTGCCTCCTTCAGACGTTTCCGAATGTGCTGCTGCTGAGTGCGTAAGCTGGCAATCTTCCGCTCGTGCTTGCAAGTGGCCTATTCAAAGCGACGACAACAAAATGTCATTTAAGTGATGTCATGATTAGTCTACTGTTTGTCTAAGTATTAGTATGACACACAGTTAATTGTGCATGTAGTGAAGAGCAGGAAGAAGTGTTCTAAATAACAATTACAGCAGCAAGCTGCAATATGGCAACCAGGCTCCAGTCGAGCAATATAGATTAATCTAAAATATTAAACATTTGTTCGTCATTGCTGGAGAGATTAATCTGAAACAATTTATCTTCTTCTATATTTTAATAAAAGTTTTCAAATGCACACAGATGATTTAGCTCCACTCCCAGGTGATCTGTTCCCACAGTTTGTTTTGGATGACAGTGAACCACTCTGCAAAGTTTGGTGCCAAAAATTCTTCAAAATTCACTTTCTCTACTTTAAATGGCAGCTACAGCTGGGACTAACACTGGGACTCAAATGGCAGAGTGGAGCCAGGAGCTGGGGAGCAGTGACCCTGTCCTGTAGTGGCGTAAATGAGAGGCCAAGACAACCATAGAGAACAGAGAAGTGAAATGATGACTCAGCAGCTGTTTTTCTGCGGGGATGATGGAATCTGTGGATAGCAGCGTAAGCATCAGCTACCTTCTCAGTCTTGTCTTTGGCACAGAAATATTGGACCTGCAGGTTGTCCTCCTCACTGTAGCGCTGGCGCAGCTCATTCTCCTTCAATTGCCTCTCCAGATCCAGCTGTTCTTTCCTGATTTGGGCCCGGCCCGAGAAGATTCGCTGCAGAGCTTCTGACACCCTAGAGAGAGGGAGAGAGGGAGGGAGAGAAAGAAGAGTGATGTTCAAATGTTACAAGCTTCAGCTTAAAAGGGCTGAATTAGGAAATTAGAACTTGACAAAAGTGAATATCAAACTTATACAAATGGTCTAAAATCACTTTGGCTGTTTAATCTCATAACATTGAAAGATCCAGTCATTCTAGTCCCATTGTCTTTGCCACTAAAAGGAACAATCAATGATTCTAATGTAAACAAAATGGTTACCCTACAATAACATGTAAATATATTTGGAATTCACACTGTTAAAGTTTATGAACTGGCCCCTTAAATTAGATGGAGGGTTCCCAAACAGTTTCCATGACTTTTCACTGACCCATAATAAAATTTCCATGACCATTCAGTCTAAAAAAATGTAGTAGAATTTAAAAGTAGTAGAGGGGCACAGCATACGTATCGAAACTTTGGGATTCGTGACCCTATATGTCTAATCACACAGTCACAACTTTATTTTTCTCTAAATAGAATTTGAATCTGATTCGTTTTAATAAAACATAGCGTACATAGCTGGCGTACAAGGAGGGAGAGATGGAGCACAGGGAGAAAATAAAGACGTACACAGTGGTAAACAAAATGTTGTCAAACATCGGCACGTTAGAGCTACGTTGCCTCAACAGCTACAAAAAAAAAAACAGATTCACTTTCCATGTCATATGTTATGGTATGACGCAGATTGTCCATGGAAAATTACTGTAACTCCTAGTTTCATTACACACAACTAAATTTTATAACCTTTCATAAACGTTCAAGGATTTCACAAAGTCCATGAAAATTAGTTGATGAAATTCGAGCGTGGAAACCCTGTAGATAAACAGGAATACATGTGTAGTCTAATGAATCAACTACAATAGGCTATCTTTGTGCAGCTCTAATGCTCACTTTTAGATGATACTGTCACTGAAGCATTCATACAGCCCTGGTCATTATGAGGCTGTAGTGGTGTTTTTTTGGACTGCCTATACTGAAAGGTGTTTTTTTTATGTCAACTCTGATTCACATACATGACACAGTATATTAGAAACCCCTCTTAGTCTAACACAGCTCAAGAAAACATCGCCATTATCACAGTGATTCAAGCCAGATGTGATTAAAAGCTGTTCAGCCACATGAAAGGAGCAAATTACACGAAATGCTGAGCCAGGCACTCTTACAGACCATTTATTTGTGTATTTAACACATCCTAAAAAGGTCAGATTTAATACTTTAATTGAAACCAGTTTAAATACAGTAGCACACCTAATAATGATTATGTAAAAGTATACAAATTAATGACATCAAATGTTTTCATGACTAATATTGTTATTCTCTACAATTAATTATACTTTAAGGTGTGAATCAATCATTAAATCATGCTGTAAACCTTTTATTATAATCTGGAGCTTCTGTAAATTGCCATTTCTGTTCGGACTAAGCCAGAAAGATATTCTTAGCTATATGATGTATATATGTATTCCTGGAACAGAGTCGAGGTGATATCCAGATTGGATGCAAGTGGCTGTCTGGTTGAGTTAAAGCAGGAGGAGAGACAGGAGAGGCATGCAGGTAAATAAGACTGGAGAGCTGTCGCTGAAATGTGACTGCACTCTTCAATGTAACTCCAGTGACGTAGGAGACGTCGTGGCCTTGCTAGACTGCTGAATTTTTAATAGCGTGAGAAGCGTGCAGCCTCTATTCAGAGCCTCTCACTGTGCGAGTTGTGAATTCTGATGCCAGTGAATGAAATGTGTGGGAGTCAGACTCATTCAGCTTTTCTGTGTCCCCCCGCCCCCAACCCAAATACCCCAACCGATGCCACTGTGTGCCTCAAAGATGACTAGAGGGGATGTGATTAATCGGATTTATGTAAAACAAATTAATATGAATGAATCATCTGGATTAAAATAAAGGCACTGCACAGCTGTCCCTATCAAATTAAAACCTTACATTTAAATACAAGATAAGCCAACATTGATTACAGCAGTTATATCAAACACTTGTATACTGTTATATACAGAGGTACCTATTGTGTATTTGTGGAAGGTAGAAATTAAGTTGCTTTATTTTTCCTTAACAAAAACACATTTTCAGGCCTGATCCTTTAGCCTCACAGTACATCTGGGTTTTACTCCAAGACGTAAAATAGTCTCTGACTACATGGCTGGATTGAAAACCAACAGTACTCAGTCCTAAACAGTGTTTTTAAATGTGTCATCCTGTTTCAATTTAAACGAATAACATGTAAACATATAGCGGCAATTTACATAACAAAAAGTAAAACTAGAATAAAGCTTTCTCGACCTTAAATTTGTCTGAAAGCTCAATTAATTACAGACACACTGTTTATCAATATTTTAGTATCTGACTGCTCAATGCAGGTCCACTGACTACAGTGCAGGTCAGGAGTGAATCTAGAAAAAGTATCACAGTATAAAAATATCACAATTACACAAAACCATGCAAAACAAAAAAAAAACAAAAAAAAAAACAAAAAAAACAAACCTGATAATAAAATATGGAAATCTTGTGTTCTCTCTGTCTTTCCATTAATCAGTATTAGTACTAGTTTCTTCTGAAAGGAAATATAGAGGGACATTAGACTGTTATGAAGATGCAGTGTTTTCCAGGAAGTGACAGTTTTCCAGGAGGTTCACGTGCCCGTTTCGTGGGATGGCAATTCATAGGAGCAACACAAACAAGTTGTTAAAAAAATATTAGGTCACCTTGGGGTGCTTTAAGCTGATGTAGACAGGGTATGGTAACTGACTGCGGCTTTTATCAGCAATTTCTCACAAGTGGCATTGGATCATCAATTCTGACAGTTTGTTTCCAGTACACCCTGGTTAGGTCAGCAGTGAAAAACACCACTAATGCATTGTGTTGTGAGTGTGTGTGCACAAGGCAGCACTAACAAATAAATAAACAGCAGCTGGTATTTTCAACTAATGATATCCACACTGACTGTGAGTTACTGATCAAAGCACGGAGAACTGCTCTGGGTAAAAAAAAAAAAGAAAAAAAGTTGCTTTGCTTCTATTTTCGCAACGTTTCGCTGGTGCACCATACCTTGAAAGTGCAGCTCCTGGTTGAAAACTATATTTGAACTCTGGGGGATTTTTTTTTGGATGTAAAGGGTGATGACAGGCTATCCAAACACTACCTAATAATTTCCAGCCACAACAGTTTGTCCACAATCACAGATCTCTTCCAGAGTTATCAACGTATTTATCAAAACATCATAGGTCACCATAACAAAATTGAAATCAGACATAATGTCCAGGTGCAGCCAAGGATCAAAGAGCATCTAGTTAGGTGACCTCAGGATTGCATTACTGCTTTTTGCCAATGATTTACTAGATGTAGCTTCATCAAACTTTGACATTTTCCAGCAATGGGTAGTCTGTAGCCAAGTGTTAGGCACCTCCAAGTCTGACGGCACTACGCTCTAGAAAATGATAGACTGGGTCCTTTGGGTTGGGAACGAGTTGCTGCCACAAATGACAGAAGTCAAATATCTTTGGTTCTGTTTTATGAGTGAAGATTGAGCATGAGACCGACAGGCGGACTGGTATGTTAGATAAAGTAACACAGACACTGCAAAGGACTGCTGTGAACACAGAGTACTAACAAAAAGAATGACATCATGGATACAAAAGGCCAAAAGGAATTTTCTTCACAAGGTACATGCGCCCCTTGGGAACAGAGTGAGGGGTTCAGACATGCAGAAGGAGACTTAAGCAGAACCGCTGCACCAATTGAGGTGGTTGGGGTGTCTGATTAGGATGCTCCATGGATGCCTGTGGAGGTATTTCATGCATGTCCTGCTGGAGGGAGACCCCAGGCAGATGTGGAGCACGCTGAAGGAGTTACATATCCCAACTAAGGCTACAGTACAAAGTCTGCTACAAGTACGACCAACCTGCTATTTTAAAAGTGTTGGGTGCCCCTGTCAACATATAAATGTAAGTAAATACTGATACAGGGATACTATGTCCAATTTTCAACCAGGTCTGCATCACCATGGTGTGAATGACTGATGATCCACAATTTCACTAGTGGCACGAGGGGAAGCTGAACATCGTTCATTTGCACACACTCCCCACAGCACGGTAACACAGACCTAGTTGAAAATCTATATATCTATATATCCCTTTATAACTGACATGGTTGCTGGCACTTGGAAATTATGAGGCGCCAGATACCATAAAGCGCTCACTGCTAAATAAAATCTAAGTTTGGACTATTTATTGTACCATAAATGACAATAAATAAATAAATAAACAACACTAAAATGGAATATCAACCTGGACCACTGCACCCCCCACTAAGGGTACATAGCACTTTAACAGGGGTCCATGAATAGTTTTCAGGTTCTTCAAATTATAATGATCTACAAAAACATTTTTATTATTTATTTTTTACCCAGGGTTTTATGGTTCAACAAATAATTTAATGTTTTATCTGAAATAAGAAAACAAGATTATGTTCTAATCTAACTAATCTCTTGGCATATGTCCCTATTAAGGGACGTACATGAGGGGGTCTCTGGTATATTTTCTATCTTGTAAGGGGTCCTTGGCTAAAAAAAATTGAGCACCTTTGCACTAGATTAAATAATTATGGATCTACAGCCACCAGAACCAGTTGTACAACCACAGGTTCCATGAATGGATCACCACTGTGCAATATATTGGGAAACACAGGCTCCTCTGTCTGTGTGCATTTAGTGCCTGTATTCCAATTACAATGTTTACAATAAAAGAGTTTATGACACATAAAGAAGCAACAACTGATATATCTCAGGTTACACGCTGAATCACACTTATGTACATGCTTACCCTTTGAACTCTGCTTGTTTCTGGGAAGAGATCATGTTAGAAGCCCCAGGCACCATGTTCTTCTCCTCGTATTCCTTTAGTTTCTTCTTCAACTGCAAAATCTTTAGAAATGCAACACAAAATTGAAATAGGAGTCAGAAATGAGAAAAAAATATGGAGACGTGCTGGATTTCTTTTTAAAAATGAGCATGGAAGTGTTGGTTGTTTCATATTACCTCTTGCCGTTGCTTCTCACATATCACCACATACTGGCCAATGTGACTGTCCAGGCTTACAACATTACTCTTCAGCTGATGAGTAAGGGAAGAGAGAAAATGTAATGAGTAATTTATACATCTATTGTCCAAGAATCACATCCATTAATAAAATAAACTATAGGATAACTTTAATACTAACCGAGGACTTAATCTCCTTGGCCCTGTTGGCATACTTCAGTGTGTTGTGGGTGTCATCGTATGACTTGGACGAGGGGCTGACATTGGCAATCATAACCGTCCTGCAGTTGCCCCCCAAGGAGTCTTTAAGTATCCGCGTCAGCTTGCTGTCCCTGTACGGTATATGAGTTTTCTTACTCTGAAACAAATGAGAAAAGATAACATTAGCCCAAGAAATGAGAACATCTGATGTTTGGGTTTACTTAAAGTGTACACAGACAAGCGGCTCAGGAAATGTGAAAAAACTCTTGTGGTTCCACTGAGTTTACTCAGAAAATACATCAAATGAAAGTTTGAAATGAACAAACACAGAATCTGGGAATTCGGTACTTCTGCCAGACATGACACAAATCAAAATTAAAGAAAGAAAAGTGTGTTATTGCTGTTGCATGCAGAAGAGCACACATGTGAAGTGTGCCTTAATATGCATTCTCCATCTGGACAAGCTCCACGAGAGAAGCTTAGTATATTACACTGTGTGGTGGGGACCAATAAACCTAACAGGTAACAAAATTCAGTATGGAGTGTTCATTTTAGAGTAAAAACAGGGAACAGCCATCCACAAAAACCAGTCTGGAGCCTTTCTGCATCTGGTCTGTGAACACAGCTCAGTCTGTAATAATGGTATTAGATAGACTACAGCTGCTTAGGTGAGTCACAATCTCGTGGGCATTGGGATTGCAGAAAGTCGCATTAAAGTTAAGTAACAAAGGAGTGTAAAATGATCTCTTTTGGGGTTAGCAGCTGTGCCTGCACTTCTCCTTGGAAAAACCCCTAGCCTACATCTGGATTCAACGACCTTGGTTATAGTTCATGTCAGGTCCAGTGAGTTTCAGGATCGCCGTGACAATTTGAGAAATCTCGTTTTTAATAAGAGGAGGAGTTCAAACATATTATTTCAGCAAAGTTGGTATTTAAAAGTAAAATCAAATGTTTGTTTTGACATCATTAGTTTGGTCAAATAAAAAATCTGTCACAGGTTCAATGTAACTTGATCCCTTGCAACTAAGGCCCCGTTTACATCTGGTATCAAGATGCGTTTTGGGTGATCTGATCACAATTATACAGCTCTAGGTACAGGTGTGAATGCATAAGTCTTGACATCTGGTCACTCAGACAACATCAGGGTGGTCTGGGGTGTGTATGGCCACATTTTTTCTGCAGCGTGTACGCTAATGTGTCCTGGGCCACATTAAAGGACTGCCTACTCAGCTGATGTACTATATGTTATATGTTATATGTCTGTTAAAAAACAGACATATAACAAGTGTGTCAAACATATTGAGTAATTTGGCTTGCCTGAAACACACCAAGGAATAGACCCTGTATGTATTTTTTTTTTATTTTGCCCACTAGCCAAGGTCTTAGCAAACTACTTTTTTCCATGAAAGCGCAATTATTTTTCTTCTTCTACTTTTAATTTCCAGCAGACCAGGGACAGGAAGTGCATATCTGCCTCCCACCAGTGGAAAAAAAAACCACAACATCTTTGGTCTTTGTAAATGGAAATGATGTATGTATTTGCATAAAGAGGGCCTTTCAGGTGAATGGCCAGACCTGCTCTGGTGTGACTGGGATGTGTAAAGCAGCCAAGAAAAACAAGTGCTGGCTTCAAAAAGAAACTCAGTGCCCCAGTGATACACGGGGCTATATCTGGTTGTGTGTTGGCCATATGGTGCTCTGCTTTTTCAACTTCTACTCTCCATGATCCCTTATGGTGTTTAATGTTATATCAGACCACACGATACAAAATAGAAGTTGTCAAACAAGAGCAAGCACATAAAATATTCATTTGAACACAGGTCATAAATGTCACTTGTTAATGAAGGTTAACAGTAATTCCAGGGCTGGAGTGTTGACGCCTTATAAGTTTTACTACCTAAATACAACCTGAGCAATCTGAGAGATTGGCGATAGTGACAGTTTGCTTCCTAACAATGCTGCAAGGAACCTGACGTCTTAAAATGTTGACAACCACAAACAAGTGAAAGCTCAGCTTTCTGTCTGCACCATTCAGCACGACTGGCACAATCAAATGTATCCGCTTTGGACAACATTTTCAAAAAGCCCCTTTTTTGTGGGTGGGACACACTGGCCTCATGTAGATGGAAGGCCAAAATGGAGAGAAAGACTGCTGCGGCATATGTATCTGCATTGGTTTGGACATTGCCTAAGGCAAACAACTTACAACAAAAACCTCTGTGCAGCATAGCATGAAGATGACATACTGAACAGCCCAAACAGATGTAGCAGAAATTCTTCTTCACTCAAACGAATGGCATGTCAGCCAAGACACAAGTGGGGACATTCTTTCCTGTAAACAATGGCCACAACATGAATTCCTTGTCTGCCAACAGTAAACACTGGAGTACCAATAACCACGGGGATAGGGTGGAGATTTCTGGTGGGCGTTGTAGGTTGAGCTGATCAAACTATGACTCCATGGCTGCAACACTTGAGAATGGCAAGTAGCGTATAAAACAACTGGCCGCAGTTTTAACGCAAGAATGAAGTAACCTGTTGAAGACAGATCACGTTTCAACGTGGCCGTGGTACATTTGCACAGCACTTCCTAAATGCATGTGGCCTGCTTGCGCCTCGTCCCCTGAGACTGGTGTGTAAAATGAGAAGACTGCTTGACAGGTTAATGTATGCAACTGGAATGAAATAATACCCAAATACTCAGTTGACTCTCCACTTCCCAGGCTCTCTGTTTCATATGGAGGCTTGTGCTCAATTTCATATACCTATAACCATAATAATCTCAAGAACATGGCGCAAAAATTCCATATACGCTGATGATTTAATATATTAACTAAATACAAAACATGGTTGGTTAAAAGTCTACACATTTGCTGTATGTGTGCACTGTCTGGACAAATCAACATGCAATACATTTTTTAATGTGTTGTGACATTCTTTGTCATCAATCTGTAGCTTGTCCAAACTATTCAATAAATCAATACAGACTACTCAGAATCTAAAATTCTGGTAAATCCAAAAGTATCTTGTGTTTTCTCCTTGCTATTGGTGTTGAGCTAGTTATTAATTTGCTTTCCTGTCTGTGTATTTTATTATTTTTATCACTTTAAATGCTTGAATCTTGATATTTCCTTATACATAAAGCATTATGTAACATTACTTTAAAAGTTCCTAAATAATTCACCATTCTAACTTTTACGAGGCAGTGAATCATGAAGCTGCATTTCATCTGTCACCACGCTAACCAGACACTAACAGATGCTGCTGTGCGCAGCTGTCCTCGCTAACCAGGAGGTGTCTTCTGTGCATTCAAAATTCCAAATGTTACAACATCAAGCACACAACACTGTTTGAATGTTAACTCTTTTGTGAGCAAATCGCTAATCTTAACTTCCAGGTTGTCACTGAGACCTCTGACAGTCTGCTGCCAGCAAATACAAAATGTGAAAAACCGTTAAAACATTTAAAGGGAGACCACATTTTCCAGTTTCTCCCTTTCCCCTGATTTCTCTATAACTAGAAAAAAACAAGTCCACATGTTGTTATCCGGAGTCCCAAAACAATTAAGAATTTCTAGGAAGTGGGCACCCTGGTACTGGGGCACAACGATCTTGGAAAATGTGAACAGTGTTTGCAACATAAACCGGTCGTGTAAAATGTTGACTTACATTCCTTGACTATTATTTGACCAGAGTATTCATTAGATCTAAATTACACAGATATAAACACCATTCATAACAACATGAATGGATATTACTGGTTCATTCACCATGGACCTTTAGAAAAACAACAACACCTTTATGTCCTTTATGATGCATAATGTGGCCACTTAACTGCACAGGAAAAAACAGTACATCTTGTCTAAGCTGTGCACCAGAAATCTGTGCATTGACTTTGTGCCCTGTTTTGAACACTGATAATATAAAACTCATCTGTGTCAGTGGTGACTGTGATTTAACCAATAAAAACAAAGCCTGCTCCTTTACGTGGTTGTTGCTGTACTTTTGCAACACTGTCTGTTACCTACAGTATATACAGGGTAATATCAACTCACCTTTGGGTCAGCAAGAACATTGATAACATTTCCTAGGGCAAGGAGCGAGCGATTGATGTTAGCACCTTCCCGCAGACGAGCCCCTTTGGCGTTGGTGGCGCTGGCTCTCTCTGAGCCGGCCAGATCAATCAGGCTCATCTTGGCGACGCAGACATTAGGATTGAGGCAGGCCGTTTTGTCCTGCTGTCTTAAATATATCTGAAGAAAAGAACACAAAACGGTCCATTTAAGATTATGAGGAAGCAAAGAGTGATGCTTTGTTGCATGTTTATAGTGAAACAACACTTCAAATATTTATTATCTTGTAAATTGAAGATACTAGTAACTGCCCACTTATAATTGTGGAGTGGGAACCATTTGCAATTGGTATTTATGCTTCTGCTTTGGTTAATTATTTTCTTTTTATGCTCTTATTCCATGTCATGACATCACGCTAGAGGCTAATAGTCCTTTGGAACTTTAATAACATTGCATTGAAATACCTGAAATACAGCATGTGACCGAGAAGAGGTTGCGTTCATGTCAGTGGGGTGCTGTGTCCTGTTGCGATTACCAGAATCCAGAGCCTCAAGAATGTGCTCTGCAGATTTGGGCTGTATAGGAGGGGAAAAAATTTAAAAAAGACAACGTCATCGATGGTGTGTGACCCAGTAAAAGGCCCCATCTGGAACCACCACAGTGTACTTGCAAACCGCAGCAACAGAACAGTGAGGATGCTTAACATGAAACAGTTTGTGTATCTAACCCAGTTTTATGGAAAAATATCTGGACAGTATTTTTAATCTAAAAAATGTGACAATAAAAATGTTTTCTTCAGCACAGCCTTTGTTTATTAAGAGAGAGGAAGCCGATAGAGATTTTTTTTCTGAATTGTAACATCTGCATACACATAGTTAGTCATAGTTTGACATAACCGTTTTCCTCCTTGACACAGAAAATACATTTCTAAATATCAGTGCCTCCAGGGGAGTTGATTTCTTGTCATCTCCTTTTGTATTTCCTCTATTAAAACATTACAATATGTATTGCAAAAGCAACTAATGGAAATCAGAATTAGGCTGTAATAAACTGACTTTGCAATGACACCTGTATTTAGCTGTAATGCACTCAATGATGCTCTGTGGGAGTGTGTATGATCCACGTTGCTACCAACCTTATGCAGTGTGAGGCCCTGAATAACCACTCCCTTGGAGCTGTCCTCTCTGACTGCAAGAGGGCCTATATTAGCCAGCAAGTCTCTGATCTGCTCATTGTAAACCTATAAACAAACAACAAATATAACTGCAAACAGCTGCAAATTCATCAAAACCACCCCAAAGGACCAGTCAAAAATGTATGATGTGGTTAAGGCTCTGTAAGGGATAGGAGACGACATCAGAGAATAACTTTGACACAATGCATTAACAAATTCTGCACTAGTCTGGAGAACAAAAAGAACAATGCAAGCAATAAACATTCAAATAATCACCTCGAGATAGGAGAAAGCAACAGCAAACTCTTTCTCCTCCTTGGCATCGTCCATGCGTTTGAACAGCTCTGTCATGGTGCGGTACATGACCCCAGGGTCATTTTGCGAGCCTAACATAGTGTGCGTCTTGCCTGCTCCAGTAGCACCATAGGCAAACACTGCAATTGAAAGACAAATGTCTATAAAGTATAACACGTACATAAAATCACAGTGCTTATCGCAACACCAGCAGCAGCTACACCATGAAACTTCCTCTGGATAGAGCATAACTACAAACTGCAATGTGAAAAATGGAAGTATCAAACATATATTTCAAACTGAGGCCCAGGAAAGCTGCGCTCATTGTGGAAAGCCTGGCTTTAGACTCACAAGTCAGAGATTTCTGATTGTCTGGTGGCGAGACTAGCCTGGCTTAGGTGAGCCAAACCGATAAAAATGAAGATGTTTTGATCAGGTGATATTTGAAAGCAGGCCTACAATACGTAATAATGTCACAACAGCACCTAAATGACAAGCTTTAAGTCACACCACTGAACCAAATATGATTCTAAAGTTCTTGAAGACAAGCTAGGAAGTAAATGTTAGCATTTTACATTCACTACACATTCAGTTGCCAGTTTAATAGGTACATCTGGCTACAACTAATGCACACTAATACAACTGTCCCGCAATAAATCCTACCTTCATGGCGGTTATAATGTTCAGTTTGTACAGAGAGGTATTGATCCAACTATATGATCATTTTGGAGGCTGCAGTTTGTGATACTGTTCAATTATTTTGCTGTATATTGATAGGTGTTTCCACTATTTTGTCCACAGTATCAGTGTTGCTAGGCTAAATAACAAAAGCACCTCTCTATATAATGCAATACAGTTCAACAGCACCACAAACTACATCCTACAAAAATGACTGTAAAGTTGAATCAACACCTCTCTAAAATCGTTTCGACGCAAACTGAACATTATGTCCTTCATGAAGGTGGGATTTATTGCAGGATGGTTGTATTAGACTGCATTACATTTAGCAAGGTGTACCTGATAAACTGTCAACTGAGTGAATACTCTTCAGCAGGATCAACATTTTCAGCTGATCCAGGCATCTTTCAATGGATCAATGATGAGTCTCTAAAGCCAAATTTGTTTCGAGTTCTGTTTACAGCTGGTACACTAGCTGTCAGATTTACCCATTTGTGCTGATTTAAAACACTGGAACTGTGCATCGTTGTGAGCTAGTGACCAGCAAGTGAACCCTGGAGCACACAAAGTAAATTAACAGCAGCCAGCAGTTTCAATTAATGATACAGCAGCATGAGTCAGCGAGCCATGTTGAGAAAAAAAAATAATTAAATTAAAATCACGGCTCTTAAGAGGTGCTGGTGTGGCTCATAACTGCATTTGAACTTCAGCGTTTGGTCATGCTAGGGTTGAAGAGAGGCGGTCAGAAATCCAAAAAGTTTACTACCACAACATATTACCTCACATTATTTTGGAGGCCTCAAAGGCTCATGGGACTTGTTTTTTTTTTAACTGTACTACTTGATCTCCCTCGCAATACTTTTGCGTCACCTTGCAATAAATTTTCTGATCTATTGAGGAAGGCTGAGCCGTATTATGAAACAGTATTATTTATTAGACTGCTCCTGGTTTTGGCCACAGCAGCCGACTACATGCAGGGTTTGTTTGTGTGCAGTGAATTGACATGGATGTGCTGGCTGAAAGTTGTAGTGTAGGGTAGCTACTGTATTCTTGAACATATGTAGTGCTTTGGTAAGACATCTGTCACATCTGATAGCAGCACAGACAGGTTCAAAAACAGAGCGTCTCCCTAAACTGGCAGCATAACTGGACAGGACCAACACACTAAATGTTCCTGTTATTGATGCACACATGATAGTATCCAGCACCTCCAATGTAATTTCCGTTCCAACACTTGTATTTTGATCAGAATTTATTTACCAAAAAAGAGACAAAACTCAAAATTAACAAAGTTTAACATTAATTAATTGATAGCTTTATTACTTTAAAATTTCAATAGATATTGCGATAATATCGTTATCGTAAATTCTTTTGGCCGAGATAATTGTGTCGTGAAAATCTGATACAATGCCAGACCTAGTTCAGTATATCCTACTATGTGATTGTTGCACTATGCAGTTGTTTCTTTTTGCCATTTTGGGATGCCAACATGTTTGGCAGCCTGGTGCAGCGTCAACACACAGCTTGGATGTTCATTTATTACCTGTGCAGTTAAATCCATTCATCACACCATCCAATACTCCTTTAGTTGTGCTCTCAAAGATGTCATCTTGAGTAGAGTCTTCTCCGAATACATGGTCAAAAACAAACTTGAGGTCCTTGTTAGCCCTCTTGTTGATGTTCCTGTTTCGTAGTCTCTGTGATCCAAAACATGATGTGTCCTCTTCCTTGGGGTCAAATATGAGCATGTGGTTATCAACAACCTGGACCACATTTTGACAGTTTTCCCGCTTCTCGCTCTCGTTGGGCGGCCTCACCCGAACAACCACCTTTACATGGCTGCACACATCACTTGCCATTGTGGTCCCTCTGCAGTGACTGAAGAGTTAATGAAAAACAAAAACAAAGTGTAACTACATTTTCCACTTTGCAAATTGCAAACACCAGTGTTATTTTTAATAATATGCTCAATAAATCACACAAATTGAGAGAGAAACAGTATAAGAGACAGAAGACAGCAGGCGATGGAACTTTTGAATGATTTAAGTAAACAAGTTTCTCCAGCCTCCCTAAAATGTTCATCCTGGCTTATCTTCGATGTAACTGCAGATAAATATTAATATGCTTGCTAATCACAGTGAAGTCAGAACCTCATTCTTAGATGACCATATAAACATGCAGGTAACATTTGCTTTTGGACAGGTTGCATACAGGGATGCACGATAATATCAGCACGTCATTGATATCGGCTTTAAAATGAACTATCAGAACTGGTCAACATGCTTTTTCTTATTTTGCACAATGAATAAATATCATGATAAGAGTATGTATGCATAATATGAAGCTATCTCCACTACAGAAGTGATTGATGATCACTAAAATTAAGTAGGGAAAAAGTGGATATATCGATATTGGTGTGGTGTCGATTATTGGTCAAATGAGTTATTACACATCGACACATTGGCAAAAAAATCCAATATCGTGCATCCCTGGTTGCGTAGAGCATATTTTCAGCATTTAAAATCAGTACAGGCCAACATTACATAACTATAAACCATGGCTGTCCTGTTAAAGGGCTGGGAGATGCGTTTTTAACACAGCAGCCCTGCAAAAAAATCCTAACGTTACCCTCTTGAAGCTTAAATGTTTTGCTTTGTTTAGAGATGTCTTGATTCAAGTTGATGGCCATTTTAGAGGCTGTAGTTTTCACTGCTATTGATTTGTATTGCTTTGCACTGTGACATACGATCAACAGCTAACATAATCTAATATTTAGCCTAACCTCTCACCCTCTTTAAAATTAAATTACTTGACCCATACCTGCACTATAATCTTGCAGTAGAATTCACATTTAATTTTGCACCACTTGCACCATGTCTATTTTACAAGCATATACATACAGTATAAAAGGTCCCTCAGTATTTTCATTTAAATTAATGTTTATAAGTATTGGATATTGATAGGTTTTGCATATTCATTTGCTTTTTTTCTTGCCCTAAGTGCTCTAATCTACTGTAACAGAAAATGGGATAAATTAACTAGTAGTTTAGCATATCTATCTGGCGTAACGTTATTAAAGCAACAACAAAACAAAAAAACTTCTGTTGTATCAATACTGTGCATGGGTTTGGCAGCTAAGTGTTTAGATGTGGATGTGCAATGTGTTTATGCACAAGCATTGTATGTATGTACACTGCCATTGCACGGTTTACAAAAATAATTAAAATGCTTCATTGCTACACAATACAACGAAATTAATGCATTAACATTATAGTAGCTAGGTAGCAGTTTCTATTGCTAAAGGCCAAGAAGTAACTCTACAGGTTAGCTGTGACAAAGAGGCTTAATAACGGCATAATACATTAAAACCTCGACAAACAGCTAACGTTAGTGAGTAGTAACGTAAACTACACTCCAGTAACAAAAAAGTCACAATAAAAATTGTGTTTATTGTTGCGAGTTTGGTACTATTTAGCATATTAGCAAATATCTGGGACAAAATGCACATTACAATGGGCGTTTTAAAAGGCGAAACAACTGAAAGCTAACCTGCCAACGTTGACTCGGCAGGGGTGGCTAACTGCTAGCTAGCTAGCTCCTCGCTCAACTTCCAACGGTAACTTAGCTTTGTTGTCTTTACGTGTAGTTCGGTGGGTGCGGTTATGTCTTACCCTCTGTCAGTTAGAGTTTATCTTCCATTTCATGCGACCACGGTAACGTTTTCTGGTGAGACACAAGCAGCTCGTATTGATGAAATAATTCCACTAGCTTGGATATAGCGAGACGGCCCGGTCATAGCTAGCACGACAAGCGCCAATAAATTCAAAAACAAGCCTTCTTCCTCGGTCGCAGCAGATTGGATGTGAGCCGCTGGTCATTGGGCGGATCACTGTGACGCGCCGGACATGCTGCTGCGGAAGGTGGAGCTACACCCTGGTCTACTACGGTAAGCTACTGTTAACTCCCTGAGGTGTTGACACGTTTCTCTGTCACACTTCACCTTAGCTAAACGTTTTTAAATGTTTCTGAATGTCGTGTTGCGTTCACGTTCGTGTATTTGTTGACGGTTCGTGTAGCTAACAGCGCCCGGTCATCCAACATGGTGGCATAGCAACAATATGTAGTGCAACGCTCTCTCGTCAGGTGTAAAGAGCCCCAGCCACTGCTTATCTAACAACGTTACAACTACTACACACACGTGATAAAGAGCAACGAATGGTATACTAAACGTTGCATAACACTTCTTATCTGTAAGAGCCATCTCTAAGATAAAGCTAAGCTAAACGTTTAGCTAAACACAAAGGTTCCTAATACAGCTAATACTGGGCAAGTCCTCAAAAAGCTTAAAGATTATCATCGATCTCATGCCCTTCTTCAAGCTGCTGCCATTAGGATTGTGTTTTACATCACCTTTTATATAGCTAAAACAAATAGGAGGAAGTCTGATTTATATTCCAGAAATGTTCAGATTACCTTGTATATAGATTAATAATCGCGCTTGCACTGAAAACCTTTACACTTTGATCTGTGTTAAATATCCTCGTGAGACCCAAGCTTTTGTTTGGTATCCATTTTTTTAATTTCTCCTAGCTATTTGGGATCAGTAGGACCTGATAAGTATAAAAAAACCTCAATATTGTCAGCAATGATAAAGTCCCAATGTACTTAAACAAGACAACAATAAAGTCCTGATGTCCTCAAACAAGTACGTACTAATTAACAGCCTCATAGCTTGTTACTGTTGCTAAAATTAGTCAAATTTGTTGCCATATCAAACTACAAACTTTATTAATCATAAATAGACATGTTTCATTTATAAAATGATCAGGTTTTGGACCTTGTCCACTTTTGTTTCAGTATCGGCTGCAGTCTGACTTGGCAGAGATGGCTGCCATCTTGTTTTTACATGGATTAGTGTATTGTGCTCTTATTACCACTAGATGGCACACAAAGTGTCCACGAATGATGACAATAGGTCTCAGTTAAGTAGAATGAAGTATAAGGTTCAGTATACCCAAAACGTGATGTCCACATATGAGGACACAGGGTCTCAGGAGGATATTGTTACTATTAATACTTGCGTCTTTCCACCACGTTGGTCATAGGCTACTTGGTTTTTATGTATGTAAATGGATGTCTTTGTGTGTATGTGTTAGCACATTCGCTTGCCTTGAATTATGTTTGTATTTTGAGATGAATTTAACTCTTTTCTTAAGGTTAGCGTGTGCATGTGCAAGTAAGCACAGCTCTTGCATATTTTCTCCATGATAACCAGGGGTAGACAACCTGCGCCCCTCTCCAGTGGCTCCCTATGGTTTTGGCAAAAAATGACATAGAAATTAATAACGGCTATTTTTTAAAAAACATTTGAATTTTCATTTTTCATCATCATGGGCCTTGAGTGATTCTTACATTCTCAATTGTAAAAAATGTGTAGCCTATAAACAGAATAAAGAACAAACCCTTGAACATACAACAGTGAGATAAAAACTACCTTAAATGACAGAAACCATCTTTGGGAAAAAATTTATTTGATGTGTACTTTGATATTTTAGTTTGGCCTATGTCCCATCCACTAACATGGAGGGAGAGGGCTTTATGACCTATACTGCAGCCAGCCACCAGGGGGCTAATGAGATGTTTCAGCTTCACTTTTGGGGGGCTGTAATGTCGTCCATCTTTATTAACAATCTATGGTGGAAATAGACATGCTTTTTCCTCTGAGTTATCATTATGACGTTAATGTTGATTGCACAACGCAGTGGCTCAAATAATGACACCATCTGCAATTTGATTGCTTTCTTACAAGTCTTGCTTTCACTATGGAATTCTGTCTGAAGGCTTGTGTATGGCACAAAGGAGATGCTTCAACCATTTTGCAACCAAAACAGGCAGAGGGTAGCGCTTTTGTTTTCTCTGGTAGCTATTGGTAGCTACCACCAATGGAACAACAGATGTAACTGTGGTAGTTATTAGGCTCTGGGGAAAATGAAAAGCGATCCAGCTGTCCTTGCAACTGCAGCACCAACAATAGTATCACTCGGAAACATTAGGGTGTGAAAAGTTGAAACGTCATCTGTTTCCACTTTGAATTAAACACTAATGTTCTTGTTAACCTATCCCTGTAATTATTCCCTACCTTTCACCTAAGTTATGGTACTGGAAAGGAATGAACAGAGGGGACAGGCTTTTTAATAGACCTGTATCTTATGAGACAAAGGTACTATTAAGTTGTAACCATGGCAAAGATAAAAATAACCACAAAATGATTCATAAGTGATAATAAATGTGCAGTATGCTCAAAACAGTCCATCGTTCATTCTCCTCTCTGCTCCTCTGGTAAAGGATAGCTTACCTTACCTGAAAGATGTAAAATGTTTGATTTACATCTTGATGCACAGCAGTGCACGGCAATGTAATAATAATGTGAATAAAAATTTGATTTTGATTCCTGTAAGGTACATCCGGTATGCCCCACAGTCTGACAGCAATCATGCAGCGTCACTCAATTTTTTATTGCCATCTCTTCAAATATTGTGTAATTCCTTGCTGCCATTTAAATGTTGCTTTGCGTTCACCGACACCATGCGCACACTTGTTGAATTCCTTCAGCTCCTGCACATATTCCTATTTCATTAGAATCATGCGTCACTAACTGAGCTCTAATTTTCATTGCATCTTGTTGCCAGGAAACACCTGAATACCTTTTTAACCATGTAGCTCACTGCGGGCAGTATTCTTCATGTAAAATGCCAAAATGTTGAACTAATTAGCCAAAGATGTACTTACTCTTATTGTGGGGTGTGGTTGTGGTGCACTATGAGCCACAGATGTGTGCTGCTGGAAGAGTTCAACCTTCAGGGTGATCTCAGCTGACTTAAAATGTTAAAATTGTGATGCATGTTTGTTTTGGTTGGACACCACAGGTTGGAGACCAGCTGCTTAAAGGAATACTTTACCTACAAAATAACAGTTGGCAAATCAGTTAGTCATGCTGTGTTACCTTGAATTCTGGAAGAAAAGTTTGTTCTTCTCGCATGCCTTCATAGAAAATGGTGAATTTGTTGACTTATTGATTGATTGGGGACCACTTTTAAGAACAGCATGTGATATGAAAACAGCCATTTACACTCTACTACTACTACTACTTCCCAAACTCACACAGTTTTCCTAAAAAACATTATGCTGCGGTCATACACGAGCAACCGAGCAGCGGTGTACGCAGCTACCTTATCGCTGTGTTGCTGTTTAAGTGTTGTTCAAGGGCTTGTTAACAAAGTTACGTTGCCACTGGCTTGTATGTGTCTGTGTGTCATGAGAAAGGTCTTTGAGACTGAAATGTCTACCTTTTTTAAAAATAAATCAATGCAAAGGTAAAGAAGTGTGTGCGGGAATCACAATTTTTCATTGTGTCTGCTAGCTGTCAGAAAGTACCTCGACTAAACGTCATCTAAAGTGTGTATTTGGACATTAAATATCTGCTTATAATCAGTGTCTGAGCCCCATTTTAACATTACATTTCGTTGCCCCCCATTGCATCCCTGTATGCACTGCAATGTCACAGAACGCTAGCATAGCATCAGCCAACTAAGCTAAAGTGACCCAGCACCACAGCTATAAAAAACCCATGATTGGTTGATGCCTCCCGCATCATTGGAGCACTGAAAAAAGTTGAGGCTAGCTCAGCTTTTGTTTGTAGCGTGTCACGACCGTCAGCAATGACAAGTATTAGGTGTCCGTTTATAGCCTCATGTCACTGGCTTCTATTGAAAATGAATTGTAGTCTGTTACTGTGTTGTTTGTATTGTGAATGCAGCATTACTACTGGAGTCTGTCTTTGAAGAGAGCATAGGTGCGTTTCAATTTAAGTTCAGTCTTAAAAGGTAAGGTTCTGGCAAAAATGCACGTGTTAGCCAAGTACTGAGCATATGACTTGATAAATGAGACTTGGATCATACCGCCCGAGTTGTGTGAGAGTTTATAAACAGATGCTTTGATATAGTTTTGCTGTTGTTTAATCTGGCCCCCAATCATTCAATAAATCAGTTTTTTCACAGTTTACTGTGGAGGCATGCGAGAAAAACAAGGTTTTCTTTACAAAGTCAAGATAACATGGCATGGCTAACTGATTTACAAGTGTTCATTTTTTTGGTCAAAGTATTCCTTTAAGTATGTTAAAAATTCCAGCACAAGGTATTTAATGCTTTGTACTTATTGTGTAGACCTAATATTTTTGTTCCAAATAATTATACTGGGTAACTATTCCAACTATTAAGCTAATTTTGAATCCATACTCACCTCCTCATTAGAAGTCCATAACTCCATCACCATTTCACTTTCACTTTCAAAATACTCACCCATATTCAACAGTGTTAAACCCCGCTCCTCTGAACTGGCTTAAATGGTTACACTATGGTTACACTGGGATATTTCTGCTTGTATCATCACATAACTTTGCTCGTGTTTCCTCCATAGATCATGATTTTTCACATGGCTGTGCGCTCCAGTCCGATATTACGGAAAACAAATTTAGCCGTGTGGAGAGCATGGAGGTCTTGGAAGTTAAGCCTGCACTCTTCTACAGTTTGTGCATCCTCTGGTCCTGGTCCCCTGGACAGATCTGAAGAGCTGTCTTCAGCAGAGAAGCTTCCTCACACACCTGTCATGCTCAAAGAAGTGCTCCATTACCTAGACATCCAGCCAGGTCAGGTATGTTTGCATCTTTGTTATTTGTGCGATTTTCTCAAAGAAATTGTCTTTTTGTATAAATTTTCTTTTTTAATAAGTCAAATATTTATTCAGACCAAATGAGTGCTGTGTGAAAGTATTCCAACCAAAACGATTGTGTAATTTTACTTCTTTCTTATTACTGTTATTGCCAATAGAAAGCATTCACCCACTGATGTATTTCTGCATTAAAAAGCTCCCTACAATGTGTTCAGACTGTAGGCAAATGTGATGTGTCTAAACTGAATCTCAAGGACTGACTGCCCTTGCTGATATCAGCAAGTGATTAGGTTGTATTTTTATTTTAGGGCATTGTTTTACGGTCTGCCTCGGTTGCTGTGGTAATGGCATAGGCATGCAAACTCATACTGAGTGGTGTTTCTCATGTTTTGTTCCTCTAAAGTGTGTCAGAACATTTAAAACACCTTTCAATGTCATGTTTTGATACACCACCACCACTAAGTACAGCTGAATTAAAAGAGCTGAATCTACACCTCCCCGACAGCATCCACAACTGTGTACATTATAATCTTCACAGGGCTGTTGTATTAGTTTAGTAACAAATATATTATTTGGTTTTGAATCGGATAAAAAATTAAATAACACCAGTGTTGAGAAATTGTTTTCCAAATGTGTGCATCATAACACCTCAATAGTATCTCATTGCAGTCTGGAGATAGCTATTAGAAATGACCTCTACTGGTAATTTTTCTCTTCACCGAGATGTTTGTTGCCAAGGTAAAGATTCTGTTCACACTCCGTACAACAACTTGTTGTTATAAAGGCACACATGAATCGAACAGGGTGCCAGCAGCTTGGCTTTCGCTTAATGTATGTACTACCAGGACAGATGGGCATGAGTCAAAAGCCTTCTGGTGTGGCAGGCAGCATAGGAGGGGAAGTGATGCCCCCCCTATATAATGCATGGTCAAGACAGGTGGGGGCCATGGGTCAACAACTTAGTCAGGATTTGCGCCACTGTAAGGCTGTTGGCAGGACACAGGGTGCTGCGTCGCTCCTGCCTGAACTTTAGCACCTCTAAACTCCTCCGCTGCCCGCCCATTTGCCAACTGTCCCAAGACAGCTTGCCAATCAGATGCTATTAAAAACAGTTTGATAGATTTTGTTTTTTTGCAGAGTACATGCTGTAGACCTCACTCAGTGTGACGCTCTGTGGAAATGCTGTATGGTCACATTCAGGAGTCGTGTTTTAAGTGTTGTTTCACTGCAGATGTCTGGTAATTTATTTACTTAAGTGATGACACATATGTAATGTTGCAGTTTCACTGGTGCTACAGCCACGGCAGCATTACAACCTTATTAAGGTGCTGACACATATTACACATTCATATAGCTAAATTATGACTCTGTGGAGACAGCCGCATGCTCTGTCAGTCTCAGTCAGGCATTAAAAAAAATCTGAATCCTGACACGACTCTCTGACAGAGCTGTCATTTAAGCAGTCAAATCTGTGGTGGTTAAGTGATGGTGACACCAACAGATCAGGGCTGCGAGGAGGAAAAAAACCCAACCTGATATCAGACAAATGTCCACTTAAATCACTGAGGGCACTGAGATTTATAATTTGGCTATTGTAAAATAATCACCAAAATGTAATTGCTCTTGTCAGCTGGAGCAGAGTATATGTGAATGAGTACTTAAGCGATGATGGGTGTCAGAGCAAAAACTGCAGTTAAACTGAAGTGTGTAAATGGAGCCTTTCAGTGCCCTGCTGCCTCCCACACAGGACGTCTGACTGTAAATGTGTATACAGGTAGCTAATTTGCACTGGTAGTTTACACCAGGCTGTAATTTCACAGTTTTACAAATGGTGTTTGTTGCGTCACGCTTGTTGGATCTGGATTAACAGTTTGTCATATGTCCTCATTAAAAGCATATATTAACTACACCACTCACCACTAACTGACTTAAAGGTCCCATGCAATTAAGTTTTCTTCATTGTTTCACTGTCTTTCTGTATGAAGCAGTATACTGAATGGGATTTAAAACTTAAGTTGGGGAATGATTTTAAGCCATGCGAGCTTCATGGCCCGAGGGATGGTAATGTCGTTCAGTTGGTCTATCGCTTTTGTCCGGATTGAAATACCTCAACAACTTGGATTGCCATTAAATTTTTTACAGGTGTTCATGGCCCCCCTCACGATAAATACGCATCTTCTATGAACCCCGACTTTTCATCTAGCACAATCAGCAGTTCATAGAATTGCTTGTCCTGCAAAATATCTCAACATCTACCAGACTGATTGGTGCAAAACTCCCAATGATTTTGGTGATCATCTGACTTCTATTCTAGTGCCACCATGAGGAAATATTTTAGATATACGTTGCTGTATTTCCTGGATGATGTTCCCTGGAGGATCATCATCGTGATTTTCACTGTGAGTATGTTAGCACTCTGATGTTAGCAGTTAGCTCAAATCACTGCAGTGGCTAAGTGCAGCCTCACAGAGCCACAATTGGCTGTAGACTCTTAAAGCCAAAACACACTGTCGACAAATGCAGTGCCCATATTATTTTCAATGTACAACCCCACACTGGTGGCGGCTAGAAGCAAGTCGGCACTCCTGGACCCACTGCCCTGTGGCACTTCACGCCACTGTCTTATTTCCAGCCTCGCCGACCCCAGAATTAAATACATTTTTCCCTCCACTCCCTCTCTGCAGCAGCTCTTTTTCTCTGCTCCTATGGTAGCTCGACTCCTCTCCTCACCATTGATGTATATAGAGAATTTTATTGCTGTTGCTGTCTTGTGTGTGACGAAGACTGGGTAAGGAGAGACTCGTTGTTGAGGTTGAGAAATATCCAGAGCTAAACAACTCACAATCCCGTCATTATAAAGACAATGGCCAAAGAGATATTGCCTCGCTAGTCATAGGTCTGGAGATTGGCTCTTCAGGTGAGAAATCAAGTTTAATTCAGGGCTGTCCACACATGATTTTAAGCGAAAGCATTGGTGGAGGAAGTACAGATCTTTCAGCAAAAGTAGTAATAACTTTGAGTGGCTGTGTGTTGATGAGCTGCAGCACGACGTGGCCAGTGTGTGCTAGCGGCGGCACTTGATGTGGCGGCGCTAGTGTGTTTTCAGCTTTAGTCTACATTAACATTACAAGCAAATGTGATACAGATCAGACTTTTTCAGAGTAGTGTGGACACAGAAATCCAATTTCTCCCAATCAGGTTCTGGGCCACTTTCATATGTGGTCCTAAATGTGGCCATGCAACTGCTGTGAGAACTGTCATGTCAGAATTCATAAATGTTTTTCCCATACTGCCATGGTTTTTCCATGTCAGACAGATTGCCAGCAGGTCATTCTCCATACAGTGTTGGAGCGGTTCGCTGAAACTACAAAATGCTGCTTTAGTCGTACCACAGCTGCCCCATGCACTCGCCAACCAATAGAGCCCAACTGTCGGATGCTTGCCTACATTTTGAGTCCTGCCATGACAGTCTTGCTTTTAGGCACTGACAGAGATATTGAAATATAGCCTGGACATCCTAAACTTTTGGAGGAACTGTTCCTCTGTAAAACCAGTCACCCCAACCCACCACTTCGGACCCCTCTCCTGCACACACACATCTACCTCTGCAGAACTACTAGCAATAGCTGCTAATAGAGCTATGACTTGGCTGTCCCTCACCCTCAACATCTGACTAATTGTCATTTGACCTTTGCAGCAAATCATTCAGTAGATGAATACTTGCACCACGGTGTCATTTCTTTTTCCCAAATGCCTGTCTCACAAATGGAAATAGAATTGAGAATTGAGCATCAAGCCCTGTAATGTTAATGCAGCCTTAGTCTTGTTAAAAGTAGTTGGGACATTTACCACCAAACAGAATAACTTTTCTCTCACCGAGACGAAAAGGTTGAACATGCTTTTATTCCATGTATGTTTGCACTCCATGTTTGAGTCATTAGCCCCTTTTACACTGCTTGTTCAAGGCGGGAATATCACGCTGTTATGTTGCCTCGTCATTCTGTATAAAAGGTATGAGCACGAAACGGGGGGACAGATTTGTCTCGCCTGTGAGCCAGGAGTGGAGGTAGTGACGGCGCTGAAACGACATCTGTATAAACAGGACATGTGGCGGGACAACATCATGGGCAGCACGGGTGTGACGTTTTGATGACCTGTTAGGCGTGCAACCTACCGCAGGAGAGTTAAAAGGTAGCTGATAGTAGTTAGCGGCTAACTGACAGAAGAAAGACATTTGCAGAAAGTGTCTGCAAATTGATAAAACAATGAGGCGCAGGAGCTCATTACCCTCTTAGCAGAGGACATCATTAGCTGCCATATAACGAAGGAAGTAAATGATTGTTCTTGGCATGTTAAGCCATTGTTATTGTTTATAAAGTGCTACCGATGCATATGTTATATGTTACGCTACAGGACGATGCTGTTGGGTTAGATGTCCCGCTCGTCATGCCTGTTTTGATTTTGCAATGGTGGCATGCTGTTTAAAATCATACACAGGATTGGCATGATGCGAACATTGTTTGGTTCTGTGTAAAAATGCAAAGGCGGCATGAAGAAGGGACTTTGTAGCGGTGTATTCAGGAAATTTGATTTTTGTTGTTTTTGACAGTTCCTGGGATGGAGCAGGGTTTCATTTTCATGTCTTTTGAGCATTTTGAGGCTCCAGCTGTTGCCATCTTTGTTGTGTAGAGTTACCATGGTTACAGGTGCCATTCTTGTCTGTAGCGAGGCTAGTTTTAAAGGCACTATTTACTTGTTCTCACAGACACACACAGGCACAGACTCACACACACACACAGTGTCCATGACACTGCTCTGCAGTAATACAACAGACGGACTGTCCTCAATAAGTCCAGCTGTCATTGCTAAACTCTGGCAGAACTGCTCTCTGTCTGTCATTGCTACTCACCTAGCATTACCACATCTCCCTGTGCTCTCCACTCCAGAGCAGCAAATCATTCAGAAGCTGGATTCATTCTCGT